TTTAATCAAAACTCTTGATCAGGTGTTTTCAAACGGCAGTCCAGGGGCCCCCAGGGAGCCGCAAGGGGGTGCTAGGGAGTCCACGGAAAATTTCAGGTAAAAGTGTAAATGCATCAAAAAATCTACGGTAACACTTTACTTAAAGCATTTATGTATAATGCATTATAAAGGGTTATTAAAGGGTATAATGCATTATGATTTTTTATAATGTGCGTTGTAATACATTATATCTTGTCGTAAATAATTATAACCGAATTTAAAATAGTGTAACAATACCAATGCATAGTGTAACAATGAATTGATAAGTGTTATAATGTATTAACTGTGGTTACAATTATTGATGAGATTGTACAATGCATTATAAGGTGCATTACAAAGCATAATTAATGCATTAAAACTACTTTTATAATGCATTATACATAAAGGCTTTAAATAAAGTGTTACCAAATCTACTAAATTCTTTTCAGATTTAAGCATCTAACAGTACTTTAACAGTGGGCAGAAACAGACACACAATCAATTTAAATATTTTCCAGATAAAATTAATTATTTATAATATTCATATTCATTATATCCATTATTTTTCCTCACAGAGTAAAAATAGTAACTATATTATATTATATTATATTATATTATATTATACTTGCTTATCATATTTTGGGATCCTAGGCATCAAAAAGTCTTGCACCAGATAACTGAGACTTTTGGGATATTTCCTCATGTATGATTTTAGCTCTGTGCAAAGCCAGCGCTTCATGCAGTCTACTTTCAGTGAAACCAATAGTGTTTACTAATGCTGTATCTTAGAACAAACACATGCACACACACACACACACAACGATTACTTAAACAAAACAAACAGTTCACCGCAGGGACTCTGCATTCTTAGCAGCTCCCTGGTATACATTCGATGGTGAGAGTTAAGTCCTGTGAACTGGCCTGAGAAACTGACCCTGTTTGTGGATATTGCAATCCAAGAGCTTCACCAGGTTCTCAAAGCATCCAGGTGGCATGTGGATGCTTATTCTTATAAAGACACAAATAATGCATTCATTACAGAAAACCAACACCATAAAGTCAAAAAGAAAAATCAATGTACAGAGTGATCAACAATAAGAATCTTCAAAGCCAGGCCAAAGCATGGAAATAGAATACTTATTTGAAAAAGAATATATGTGCAAATGTAAATATAATTACATATAATAATAAATATAGTTTTGCCATGACAGAAAGAAATTAAAATATATTAATTTTAAAATATATTAAAATACAAAGCAGTTATTTTAAATTGTAATAATATTTCAAATGTTTTTACTGAATTTTTTATCAAATATGTGCCTTGGTGAGCATGAGAGAATTCCCTCAGAAAATTGAGGGAAGTGCAACGTGCAATTTTGGTCACAAAAAGTGTTACTCAATGTTTCCTCAATTTCTCAGATTTGAGTGTCACCATACACACATAGCAGTTCTGGCCTGTACAGAGATCAGAGAATGTTGGGAGAGGCAGAAAGGAGGAAGATGGAGGGAAGAGAGGGGGGTTTAAGATGGAGCAGGTAGACAAAGCCAGCATTCATGGACACAGTGAAGGAATGAAAAACATTCTCCACCAAGAGACGCATGGTCATCAGTAGGGCATGGGTTAGGGTGTGCGTGTACGTGTGTATGAATGTATGTGTGCCAACACGAAAGGATAGGGGAAGGGGTGTTTGATCTAACGATAAGTGGGTGTAATTTTACTACAGGCTCTGGTTAAAAGGAGCCCTCGCTTCAATATCTACCAGCTGCAGTGGAGCTGGTAGAGGAAAAGAGTGGGGAGAAAGTCAAACGGTACACACTCTCAGAAAATAAGGTACTAAAGCTGTCACTAGGGTGGTACCTTTTCAAAAGGTGCCCCTTTGTACCTTATTTATCCCAAAAAGGTGCATATAGTGGTACCTTAAATGCACATATTAGTACCTAAATGGTGCAATTTTGAAAAGTTACCACACAAGTGACAGCTATTGTACCTTTTTCTGAAGGTATAAAGTAAAAAGTTCAATGTGAGTATGTGTGTGTGCCAGTAAGTGTGTGACAGGTCCCCAAAGACAACAGTACAATGGCCCACACAGCCTCTCTGGAATGCATTCAATCAGAGTTCAGGGGAATTCTGTCAGCGTAGAGCTCAAAAAAGAACACAACTTATTTTTATGCCCTTCCACAAACTGAACAAATTGAGACTGTAAATAAACCCCCAGTGTAAGTGAAAGGATGACGTCTCAACTGACATTTGGCTGTGGAAAGGTGAGGTTGGTCGGTATGTTGGTGCTGAACTCGATTGATTCTCCGTGTCCGTTTATAGAGGTGAGTTGGTGCGCTCTGCCCTCTACAGGCAAAAAGGAATACTAACAGCGCTCCTGTTGGATACGGGACGCAAAGGTGGGTACTGCCAGCTGCCACATTTTCCTCATTTTATTCTAGTCAGGTTATATGGATGTTACGTGTAATAAAACATAAGTAAATGCATTCAACAATTAACAAACATTATAAACATGGTTAGACGGACACACCTGTGCATCAGAGTTGGGCTTAAACTTTGTAGCTACACTAATATCCACCAGAGGGCGCTCCAATCGAGCAAGCCGATTCAGTCAATCTTTTGGATGCAGAACCCTATCACTTTTAGGCTATATGAGCTCGTGAAATGGTTATGAGTTATTGCAAAGGCTCAAATGTGCAAAACCCATGAGCGAGCTTAAGTTAAGTGGATACAGTGACACCTGGTACCAGAGTAAATGGGTCACACTCATAGGCGGAGGGTGAACCAACTCCAGGGTAAGGCTAAAAGCAGCCAAATGTATTAAACATCGTAAACCCGTCTTTTTAGGCAAGCACCAGACATGGGTGTCATGTAGGCTAATAAAATATGTTTAATGGGACTGAATTTGTATTTAACGTGATTACAATTGAATAAAAACATTAGAAATTGATAATTATATATTTTATTTCCTTGGTTATTCAAACAGCGAATAGATTATAGGTATAAAGAAAGTGACATTATCACTAACTTTGATCTATCGCGAGTTTAAGCACTCTCAAAAAAAAAAAACTATCGTTATAATCACTGAAGCTGTATACACTGTGAAATGAATCTCTTACATTTGTACGCGCACGCAATCAAAACTGATGAGTTTCAGCGATGACTCATCTAAACGCCTCTGATTGGCCATTGCATTCCTAAGCTCAACAGAATTGTGTGTGATTGGTTAAAATGCTTAACACTTTAAAAACGCCTAAAATGAAATACGGTGCAACATGAGCAGATCTTAATGTAATGCCACAATCGACACTGTCTATTCATTTTCACTTTGTTAGCAACAGACGTAATAGATTTAATTTGTTTGTGCAGGGGCTAAGCCTTCCCCATCCTTACACACATGTGGTCACATTGGATATGGTAACTTTGAAGGTTGACTCTGAGCCATGAGTCATGCTGACCCAAGTCTCTGAAATGACGGCCCAGATACTCTAGAACAGAGGTGCCCAAACTCGGTCCTGGAGGGCTGATGTCCTGCAGAGTTTAGCTCCAACCTGCCTCAACACACCTGCCTGGAGGTTTCTAGTATGCCTAGTAAGAGCTTGATTAGCTGCTTCAGGTGTGTCTAATTGGGGTTGGATCTAAACTCTGCAGGAGTTTGGGCACCCCTGCTCTAGAATGTCAGTAGTATGATCAGGGCCATCATGAGATCAAAACAACCTGGAATGTTGTCTCAGGCCCGTTGATGAGGTGAGCTGACTAAGGTCCTCTGTTATATAATCTAGCCTACTTGTTAGGCATAGCAAAGTAGGGGCTGTAGGGGACCAGTCGTAAAATTATGTTCCACACCCGATGACCTCAAGTAACGATTCTGTGATATGAGCATGACATGGAAACTTTTTCCACCCAGCAAAATTTTTTCAATAACTTTGCAAGAGTAGTGATGCAAAATGTTTAAAAAAAAATTGCACTAGGCCTTGTGGTGTAAATATAAAAAATATAATAATATAAAATAAATGAAAAAGAAGAAGAAGGAAAGGAAATTAATCATAAAAACAACATTTTGTGACATTCACAAAATTCCTTTGTTGTGAAAAGGGAAGCATTGACATTGATAAAACTTTGTGAGGTTACCGGAAAGTGTTTTGGGAAAAATATAAATACTAATGCATTACATAATCTCAAAGCAAATCTTCCAGCTGTAACAGGATCAGTCGGTTTCCTCAGCCACTCTCTGCCACTCAAAACCAGGGAGACCCCACTGACCTCACTACCCCCTAAAAGTGACAGCATTGCTTTTATATTTTTAACTGTTAACATTTTATATGTGCAACCCTTATAACACATTATTTTACTTTCTGACCGAAGATTCTTCTAGCTTTTCTTTTCTTTTTTTTTAAATGTAATTTCCAGGTACCTTTTCCTTTCTGTATATTCAAGGTTCATCCCTGCAGTGTTTTATAGCTTGTTACAGCAATAAGACGTAAAAAAAAAAGTGTAGAACCTATATTTACATTTATAGTTATATACCTATATTTATTTGTAATTACACATTTATATAAATAAAGTTAATTCAATACATCCCATTTTTTTCCAGTTATGTGATCACGTGTATTTTACTCTTTGGATAGCCCAATGAAAAGCTTTCCAATTTTTTTTTTCATTTATGTTTTATTTTTTTACTCTTTTAGACCCTTCAAGCTCAAAAGTAAATTTTGGTCACAGATGTTTGGGATTAAATGGGCAATTATTATGTCTGCTTTTGCCTTTTAAGCAGCAAAAGGCCCAAGCTCAGTAAGTCCCAACTAAGTTGCATAGTTAGTTACTACTATTGAGCCATATAGCCTACGTCTGTTCTGGGATCCACCAATTATCCCTCTCCTTTTTTCTCTCACCATCACGCCCCTAACATCCGCCAGGGGGCGTGTCCTCACCCGCCTATGATTCCTCGGTTACCGGCTAAATTTGTCAACAGAAGTCACTCCCATGCCTCGTGGGACGATCAGGCACTCAATAGAAAGGACACGATTCATAGGCATAAGACACGCGCTGCTTATTCACACTGGTTTAGAGCTCTTATAGGTCGCTGATTTAGAAATACAAACTTTGGGCATTGATTATGCATTGTGTTAAGACCCTACGGGCGTCCAGAGCTGGTATTTTGCTCATTAGGAACGCTGGAAAATGGGAGAGAGTTGCGGGAAATTTGGACAGAAGACACTCACCTGCTCGGCTGCTGCACACGAGCGCATCTCCAGGCCAGCATCCGCGCCATCAGCACGTGATCACAGAGACGGACGCCGCAACGTACAGGTAAATCCTCAGAGAGGCGTTACCTGCTGGATGCGTTGCCATAGATATTATATAAAGGTCTTTTAAAATTTGATTATAGAGGGGCTAATATCTTTCTAAAATGAAATGTGTTGGGTAAAACATGTTTTCTGTATTGTTTTGTGTTTTAAGAAGTAATAAGGTGGTTGCTGGGTTGGAGGACCTGTTGTTCTACACTATCACTCAGGGAGAAGAGAAAATCTCAGTGGCGCGTTTCCTGGCTGTGAGTTGCACTAATAGTCACAGAGTGCTGATGCCATTGTGCATGTGTGTGTGATTTAGTCAGCATGTACTGTAGTGAGAGAGAAAGGGAATAAAATACATGCTGTAAACATCATGTACCTGCATTCTTTCCATTTAGTATTATTAAAAAATATTAGACACATCTATTTTTACACAAGTTATAGTCATAAATCTTTGGTGTTATATAATGGTACTATAAATAGGCTTCATGTGTGGGCCAAGTTGCTTGCTCCATTAAAGCCCATAATAAATGTACCTATTCCTAAACATGTGGATCCATATTTGGATGTTTGAGTTTATATTACAGGGAGCAATACTTAAAATTATGGACTGTTTTAATCAAGGTAACACATTAATCTCTGTATTTCCAGACATAGTACTGCACCTTCAGTGTGTATGTGCACTTCAGTACACATGCCACCCAGAAATATACACCCATTAAAGTGTTAAGAAGTGTATTGCTATAATTTATGTGCATGGGGTTGTTTTGTCTATATATGATGGTCATCTCCACCATAGCTGCCATTTAACAGCTGAAATGCTATATATCATTGACTGAAGAAAACATGTTCCTACCAATGATTGATGGTGAACTCTTTCATTTGACTAATGTAAACACTGTTGCACTGTACTATAAGAACTTTGTCACAATCATTGCAAATATATAAGGGACACGTCATAATTCTCTGCATTTCCTTTTTTTAATATACTAACAGCTATACAGTATATCACAGTGCAATTGCGCTTAATTTCAGTTTGTGATGAAGTAAACATAATATTAAAATTGACTCTATTTACTGTTTTAATACATGTTTCTGGTCTTATTGCTAACATTCCATCCATGTTATTCCAAAAAAGCTTGTCTTACTCTGTTTAAAGGGGTCCTATTATGCTCTTTTACAAAGTCTTGATTTTGTTTTGGGGGTGGCAAGTATGCTACTGTTCAAAAGTTTGGGGTCAGAAAAATATTTTTAAATGTATTTGAAAGAAGCCTCTTATGTTATGAAATATTTCACTGATCACAGAGACGGACGCCGCGACGTACAGGTAAATCCTCAGAGAGGCATTACCTGCTGGATGCGTTGCCATAGATATTATATAAAGGGCTTTTAAAATTTGATTATAGAGGGCCAAATTTTTTTCTAAAATGAAATGTGTTGGGTAAAACATGTTTTCTGTATTGTTTTGTGTTTTAAGAAGTAATAAGGTGGTTATTTACAAATATTTTAAAATGTATTTGAAAGAAGACTCTTATGTTATGAAATATTAAAAAAATTCTAAATAAGTTTTTTTATTGTAATATATTTTAAAATGTAATTTCTTCCTGTGATGGTAAAGCTGAATTTTCAGCAGTTATTACTTCAGTCTTCAGTGTCACATGATCCTTCAGAAATCATTCTATGATGATTTGATATTCACAAAACATTTCTCATTATTATCAATGTTGAAAACAGTTTTTGAAAAATTTGATGTATATTATTAAAGTAGTATTTCTGTCAAAAAAAATATACTGACTCCAGACTTTTGAGCAGCAGTGTAAATCAACTTAAAATGGGTATTTCATGTTGATGTTAAAGGTCTCCATATCATTTTTATTATGTTATAGCATCCTGAACTAGTAGTTCTTCTCTAAATTTGTGCTTAAAATCAAGCAATAATTATTCACTGAACAATTTAATAATTCAGTATTTGAAATATGAATAATATTGCAATTGTGCTCTTGTTTTTCTTAGGCACTCAAAAGCACAGGCTTGCTGACCTCTGACCCCCGGTTGAGAGAGTGCATGCGGCAGATCCACCAGGCTATCCAAGAGTCTGTTGGAACGGCAATGATGGACCAGGAACTGTTCAGAAAGTGAGTAGAAAACTGACTCAGCAATGCAAAGCATAAGAGTATGTGTGTGTGCGTGTTTTCGTGACATGCCGTGGCATCACTTATAGTTTATGACCTGCAGCTGTTATGCTATATGCACACACTCATGCCCCTTACAGGTGAATGACATCTCAATGTTCTTGGAAGTCTGGAAATACAAGCAGTCAGTTCTTCATGCACACATATCATCACATTTACAAATCTATGACCCGACTTTCTGTTCTCCAGCAGAGGTAAATACAACTAGCCACCTGTTGTGTTTGTATGTGCGTGTACATGCGTTCTGCTGGAGCGTGTGTGAAGCTAAGCCATGTTAAGCAGCGATAATGTGTTTGTTACTCCTGTGAGGCACCGCTTAAGTTGCTTTTGAACCAGCTCAGTCGGTGTTAATAAACATGGATCAAATCTCATTCTTAGCACATTACAGATCACAGGTGGCTGTTAAGTCACAGTTGTGTCACATGGGCATATGTGTGTTTCTGTTTCTAGATGTGTTGGCAGTAACATAGTCCTCCTGACTCAAGCTTTCCAAAGGAAGTTCATCATTCCAGACTTTGAGTCCTTTACCTCCCTCATAAACCATCTGTATTATAATGCACAGGCTCAGAAAGGAGGGAAAGTAAGACATTGATTTTCCTTATCGCTGTTTCTGAATCAGCTTTACAAACATATTTATCAACCTCTCATCTCTATATTTGTCTATGCGTATGTTTGCGCAGGTTGCAAACTACATCCCTCAGTTAGCTAAGTTCAGTCCGGACCTGTGGGGAGCTTCTCTGTGCACAGTGGATGGTCAGAGGTAAAATATACTTTTTGAGAAAAGGGTCCAGACCAGAATACATTTTTTGGTCCACCTGTACAAACAGTGTACAATTGTGGGTGAAATATGTAATATATAAAATATAATTTAATATTTAATGATATAAAAATGTCTGTTTCTTTTTAATTCATTAAAAAAAAAACATCATTATGAGAATATAAAAATTCCACAAAAATATTATGCAGCACATTTTACTTGAGCACCGAATTAGCATATTAGAATGAATAAAGACTGGAGTAATGGCTTTTTAAAATCTCAGCTTTGCCATCACAGTAATAAATTAAATTTTTAAATATATTCAAATAAAAAATGTTATTTAAAATTGTAATAATATTTCTAGTGCTGCTGGGCAACGATTAATCACAATTAATCGCATCCAAAATAAAAGTTTTTGTGTACATAATATTTTTGTGTGTACTGTGTATATTTATTATGTATGAATACACACACATGCATGTATATATTTAAGAAAAATATGTTATGTTTATATATTAAATAATTTTATATATAATATAAATCATATGAATATAAATAAATACATGTAAATATTTTCAAAATATATACTGTATTTGTGTCTTTATATATACATAATAAATATACACAGTACACACACATATAGTATACAAACAAAAGCTTTTATTTGGATGCGATTAATTGTGATTAATCGTTGCCCAGCACTAAATATTTCACAATATTACTGTTTTACTGTATTTTTGATCAAATAAATGCAGTCTTGGTGAGCATAAGAGACTTCTTTCAAAAATCTTTCAAAATCTTACCAACCACAAACTTTTGAACGGCAATGTATTAAATCAATATTTTACAGTATTGTTCTTATTATAAATATTTTTTAAATATCATGCAGTTATTTTAATGATTTTTTTTATCTCGACAACAATATAATTATTTTTTTCCTTTGCATTTTTAAAGAGCACAAGTCATTGGTTGTGATGTATTCAAGCCTTTGACAGTCAAGTCACAGACATCACTTTCATCATATTAACATATTATATTATATAGTTCAAAAGTAAAGTTTTATTAATCGGCCTAACCCAAAATTTCACTTTCTGATTTTTATTGACTTTGTTTTCTTGCCCTTTCCCCTCTCACTCACTGTATCTTAAATTTGATCTCTTCCTCTTTACATAGGCATGCTATAGGAGACACAGATATGCCATTCTGTCTGCAGTCATGTGTGAAGCCACTGGAGTATGCGCTGGCTGTGCACGAGACTGGCACTGAACTTGTGCACAGATATGTGGGGAAAGAACCAAGTGGCCTCAAATTCAACAAACTCTATTTAGATGAAGAAGGTGAGAATCCATCACAATCTGTTTTATTTCTCTTGTTGATGCTGTCACTCAAAGAAATGGCCATATAAAGTGGTCTCAAAAACTATTTGGACACTTAAAATGACACATCCGTATACTTGTGTTTTATAATCTTTCTCTTGTTTGCCCTGGACAGAACTCCAGAGGTTCAAACCAATGGCATGACTCTAAATTAGTGATATATCACAGGCTCATTGTGTTCTATTGCAACATAAAGTCTGGGTATAAGAGGAAGCTGTAAAACAGTTGTCAGTTATCAGATGCCCTTTCAGTATGAACCTTATCAATGGATTTCCTCACCTCTGAGGAACATTGCATCTGCAGTCCTTACAGAATCTGACAGCATGATGCCCCTTTGACACTTAGTTTTGACAATTTGTAAACTTTTTTTGTTTCCCAGATAAACCCCATAATCCCATGGTAAATGCAGGAGCCATTGTAATTAGCTCTCTCCTAAAGGTAAGAATATACCTTACAATACAATCTGAAAAATCTGGCCTTAGCAGCCATGAGACATACATTTTATTTTTATTTTATTTTATTTGAATAGCTACTTTAAATTCAGCAGGACTGATGTGTTGCATTGATATCAGAAATTATAGCTGTGATTGACAAACTACTTTTAATTGGACAAAATTATATTTCTGCCCTTTCCTTTTGACCTGGTTTTAAATAGCTGTAGTTTTAATAGTGTGTGTTTGTGTGTAATGAGGGGAGTGGGTGGTCCTTTTAGAAATGACATAATAAGAGCAGCTAGTGGTCAAGAGGTGTGTCTAAACAGCCAATCAGAAGATGTGCTGAGAAATACGCCTTTAAGCATGTTTAAATAGGGTCAGATTTTCTACAAATTCAGAATAACCTGCAGGTCTATGACTGCAATGGAAGTTTAAAAGATTTCCGTGGTTTAAATGAACTGATATAAAAACAATGCCTAATTACATGTATAATTATGGGACTCTCCACTTTTATTTCAAGTTCAAAAGTGTAAAATTTCTAGTTTGACCTATGCCCTTAAATATGTTACACAACATAGTGAGCACAGACACACAGGAGTACTTTTTAAGACGAAGACATCTCACAGCTGTGATCGCATTGCGCTGACCTTTGCACATGGGACTACCTTGTGGACCTCGTGGAACTGGTCACCTTAACATCACAGTACATATGAAACTCAATATGTGGGGAACTTTGTCCCTAATACCCAGGGCCGTTTCTAGGCATAGGCGAGCTAGGCGGTCGCCTAGGGCGCCACCAGCTGAAGGGGCGCCAATGAATACCAGTTAGGGACTAGCAGTTCATGTTGAATCATTTGGCTTTATAGTCGTCCTTCTGTACTGTCATGTTCACTGCAACTGTGCAATGAAAAGCATACTGCACTGTATTACTGTTTGCAGAGGAATCTTTGGATTAGTCCCAAAGTAAACTGTGTCACTGGAATCACTGTTAGCTATTTTTTGCTTGCCAACAGAAGCTAATTTTATTTATATGCAGTTCATTTATAGTACATTGACTAAATTACAGTGGACGTTGTGAATGCTGAATGTGTTTCACATCTGACTCTTTCCTTCTGGATCTGTCTGACTGTCTGTAGATTTGTTCAGTTTGTTTAGGATTGGCATCAGCCATGGGTTAGCCCTCAGACATTTTTAATGGGTTTTTGACATTTTTTGAATAAAGCCACTATAGACAAACTACATATAACACAAGGATGTAAGTTTAAATGCTTGATAAATTACAAAACCTGTGTAGACCTTATGAAGTAACTTGTTAGCAATGTACAATTTAAAGCAATCAGTAGTTTCAAAATTCACATTTGAGGTATAACTGTGTGTAATGTATATTGTTAAACAGTATCTGAAAGTCCTTTTAAGTCATTTTAAAAACAGACCTTTATTTACTCTTAAAGCAGTGAATTTGCCTTTCGGATGAATTAGCCTTCCAAGTTAGCCTTCTTTTCCTGCATTTAGTTTCTTAGCACACTTTTAAATAGTGCACTTTGTAACCATATCAAATTAAAAGTTTTACTTTAAAGTTTTCTTTATTGACTGTTGACTAATAGAAATTACATTGAAATCTATTTTAATTTACCATTAATTTTTTTAACTTTTAATTAGAAATTAAGTGTCTGAAAACATGTCATTTCAGTTCAGTTTTAAAACTATGCTAAAGTGTACTTCTGTCATCTTCTCTCACTTTCTCCTTTTTTGTCTCTATTACAGCCTGGTTCCAACAAGGCAGAGAAGTTTGACTTTGTGAGTAGCACATTGCAACATCTCCACCATATGAACTATCCCAGGTGTTTGCTGTTATCTTGCTTGTTATAAATAATGATTTCTGTTTGTGTGTCAGATGATGGATTATCTGAACAGAATGGCTGGCAGAGAATATGTTGGGTTCAGTAATGCCACGTACGTTTTAAATACAACCTAATTATTTCTACCAAATTACCCTCTCTTAGAGGTGAACCTACAGTTTGTTATCTAATATGTACTGGTGATAACATTTTCTGGTGATAACAAGTGTCTGGTGATATTTAAAGTTTCCAGTCAGAGAAAGAGACCGGTGACAGGAACTATGCGATTGGCTATTATCTCAAAGAGAAAAGAGTGAGTCTCTCTTTGGTCACTGTCATTTTCATAAGCATATTGACAGGATATTTATTGCTTTATCACCTGCTACTCTGCATTTTTTTCCCCCTGTAGTGTTTTCCCAGTGGAGTTGACATGATGGCAGCCCTTGACTTCTACTTTCAGGTAAATCAGCTGTCATTCTGACACATAATTGTCTTTTATAATGGTACTTGCTATTATTGCTCTTACTAAAATGTCTTTCTTTCCTTTCCAGCTGTGTTCTATTGAGGTGACATGTGAGTCTGGTAGCGTCATGGCAGCCACATTAGCTAATGGAGGGATCTGTCCAATCACAGGCGAGCGTGTGCTCAGTGCCGAGGCCGTCCGCAACACTCTCAGTCTCATGCACTCATGTGGCATGTACGACTTTTCCGGCCAGTTTGCCTTTCACGTGAGTCACACACACACAGCCGACTGATTGCTTGCTGAATTCCCCAGTGTGATGTAGTACACAGACACAGTGGACTTTACAGCTAGATGAAACTATTTCAGTCATTTGCTTTAAACCTCAGCTAATCGCTTAAATAAAATCACTGTTATCACTGTTTCCCTTCCTCAGGTGGGTTTGCCTGCTAAATCTGGGGTGTCTGGTGCCATGCTGCTCGTGGTTCCTAATATCATGGGGATGATGTGCTGGTCTCCAGCTCTTGACCGTGTTGGCAATAGCATCCGAGGCATTCACTTCTGCCAGGTACTTATTCATGAGCTTTGCTTTTGTCTCTCTCTTTCCGTTTGTTTATTTTTTCTGTGAGACCATTAACTGAATTTGCTTGTCTTTTAGGAGCTAGTCTCCCTCTTTAACTTCCACAACTATGACAATCTGAGACACTTTGCAAAAAAGTTAGACCCTCGCAGACAGACAGGCCACGAGAGGGTGAGACCACACACTGCTAACAAATTAAAGCTAGAAGCTAGCTCAGAGTTGTGATCAATCATTATATTTATATTACAGAACAAGTCTGTGGTGGATCTGATGTTTGCTGCTTATAGTGGTGATGTTTCAGCTCTCAGGAGGTAAGATTGTCTTTCTTTTATTGCAAATAAAAATACAAAGATTTTCATGAGAGTGGTCATGAGCAACAATAAGATATTAATTTGTTTCACAGAATCGCTCTGTCTGCAGTAAATATGGAATTGACTGACTATGATACCCGTACCTCCCTACATGTGGCCTCAGCAGAAGGTAATAAGGCCATTTTGGGATTTTTTTGGTGTATTTACACTATTGTTCAAACGTTTAGGGTCAGAAATTAATACTTTTATTTAGCAAGGATGTATTAAAGTGTTCAAAAGTGACAGTAAAGACATTTATAATGTTACACAAGGTTTCTATTTTAATTAAATGCTGTTCTTTTGACCTGTTTATTCACTGAAGAATCCTGAAAAACAAAAATATTTCAACAGATTCCACAAAAATAGTACAGTTTTTTTAACATGATGATAAGACATGATTCTTGAGCAGCAAATCAGCATTAGAATGATTTCTGAAGGATCATGTGAAACTGAGAACTTGATTAATGGCTTTTGAAAATGTAGCTTTGCCATCACAGGAATACATTACATTTAAAAAAAATATTAAAATACAAAAGTTATTTTAAATTATAATGTATCACAATATTCCACTTTTGGATGAAAATTAACAAGTCATTTATTCATTTATCTAAAACTCTGATTTCAGGGCACTTGGATGCAGTCAAGTTTTTAACACATACCTGCAAAGTCAACCCATATGCAAAGGACAGGTATGGCAGAACTCCCCACTCTTGCACTTTTTCTGGTCTGTTTTTGTCTCCTTTATTAAAATGCATCTGTTTTTCAGATGGGGGAACACACCTCTCGATGACGCTATGCAGTTTGGGCACAGCACCGTGGTCAAGGCACTACAAGAGTACCAGAGCATTTACACACACACACTAATGCCCGAGGAGCTCAGCGCAGACACGTGTCCCGATTCCACCATGGACGCAGACGAACTGAAGAGCATGGAGACTCTGGATGGTTTAGTATGAGCGAGAACTACCATGAACATTCCAAACTTCAGTCTCTCATGACTTCAGGGAAGCATGTGGGTGTGAGATTTATGACAATGCCCGTGTAAGGACATGCTGAGCAGGTGTGCGCAGGTGTTACCGAGATGCCGAGTGCTTCAAACCCAAAGCTCTGCTATATGTAGACCTCAGCTAGCTTCTGTTGATGGTTTAAGATGGTCATTTCTGTAGTCTCTCAAACCTCCATTCAATCTACTGTGGGATTATGGAACTACTTCCGGGTCATTTCTGGTACAGGTCCTCAAGGACAGTTTGGTTTGTGCTTGGACCAATTTAGAAATGCAGAAGCTTCCTTTCCCTTCACATTTATCACTGCAGAAGGATTTTTATATTAAAACACATCCTTAACTGGAAGGTTAGCCAGTAACTAGGAGCTGGATTCTCAAAACTTCCTTCAGATTAAAATTCTTCTTAACTACTATTTATACTAGCAAACTAGTATACAACCATAAAATATAAAAGGCTGGCATTTTAAGAAATGTTGCTCTTGAAGATGTTCTTAAGAAAATATTTGAGAACTTAAGAACTATTCAAGAAATCACTCATACCATCTTTTAAACCTTTTGGAATCTATCCTAAGCACTTTTCTAAGCACAAAGATTTTCGTGAATCTGCCTTTGGCTTACGAAGTACAAAGTGCAACTGTAAATTTAGCAGGCTATCTATCAAGAAAGGCATGCATGCACATTAAAAAGTAGTTTATTTATGAGAGAACCATACTGGAAATGTCATTACCTCATATTACCTTTAGGAGGTTAGCAAGTCAGTATAATGTGAACTTTGGCCCATTTGTCTGTATGGCAAAGCTTTCCATGTCATTTAGATTATTAATAATCTTTGGCTTAACATTATGAGAACGTATTTGTATATTTGTTCTATTTTTAATGTTTGAATTTCTTAAGCCTGTTTATAGACTTTTTTTTGTAAGGTATTATATAATTTAAAATACATTATTTTAATGTAGGGCACAAAAGCTTTAACTGAACCTGCTTGGGAAGCATCTGGTGCGTATTTTGCCAGAAATGAATGTATTTAAAACTTGGTACGTGGACACACTTTATTGCTGGATACAAAACTGTAAGTTTTGAGAAAAAAAAAAAGAAAGTTCATATAGTTAAAGGAGTGTATTTGTTCCATATAAAAGTGAAAAAGTGTAAGATGGACAGAATGACATGAAACGAGACAAGAAAAAAATTAATGTATAAACTGTAAATAAAGAATATCACTGGTGAAGAATGTCTTTTTATTGAAAAACACCTCTGAACACTGTGCATGGGCACCGATGCAAAATGAGAAATGACTTTTAAGCGTATCAAGTATTTATGTGCATATATGGATTCATTAGTTCATCTGCATATCACAAATAGTACACTGTGAGGATGTTTTCACCAGCTGAACAGACAAATATTGCTCAAATCTGGTTTAATGGCAGTAAAAAAAAACAGCCATGTTCCCACTGACTTCCTTAGTCTTTTTATAAGGCCCCTACTTCTCCTTCTCTATCCATTAAGAGGCATGTAACACCCATGTGTGAATGAACAAGAGTCACTAAAGTCCAGGTGGGATCTCCAGTCCAGAGTGTGTGAGCAACTCCCCATCCCAGAGTGCAAACGCAGGACAGATGGGCGAGCGGAACTGTGTTTTTATCGTGTATACCACTTCAGCTTTCTGGATGTCCACCAGACTGAGCCGTCCAGCCTCGTAGTCCAGCAAGAGCCCGACCCGATCGGGTTTCCCCACCAGCGGCACCGGGACCTGCTTGCCAGTGGTCATAGCAAACCATTTCCTCTGGACAAACGCAAACACCCAGGAACTGGAATTGGTGCCCACGCATTCGTCACGTGATGTCAACACCTCGGCCACGCCTACCCGGAATTCATGGGACTTTTTAACCGTCACCTCCCAGTAGTACCGTCCAGAGTCAATGTGGGTGTCAGCGAGAACCACAGCCCAGTCCCGGAATCGGAGAGGGGTGTCCTGCACGAGAGTGGGGTCCACACCCAGCATTCGATAGATCACACCAGTGTCCTTCTTAAAAAGGTCCAGGCTGCTGTGGGCTGTCCGCTCATCAAGCTTAAACTGCAAATCTGTTATAAATAAATAAATAATCATTCAAATGGTGGTTATTATATTGATCAACTATTTCTGGTTTATCAAAATTTTCACAAAACATTTTGGAAAAATATTATAACACGAGTTAACCAGTGTTTTGTGCACTAATAAAATAATGGTAACACTTTACAATATGTTTTTATTCGTTTCATTCATTTTAGTTAGCTACATTAGTAAATGTGAACAAACAATGAACAATAGTGCTAAAGCATTTGTTAATATTAGTTAATGTTAACACATTTTTTAAATCAAAAGCTGTGTATGTTAACATTAATTAACTATGAACTAGTATCGTATTTTAACAGTTTAATCAACAATTGATTTAAAAAAAAATCAGAATCAGAAAGAGCTTTATCACCAAGTGTGCTTGCATACTCAAGCAATTTGGTAATTGCTTATTGTTTATTATAAATTATTATAAATAATATATTACTCATTTGTTAATGTTAGCTAATGCATTGACGAATGGGACCATATGGTAAATTGTTTCCAAAATAATAAACCATGCAATTTTCATTTATTTTGACTGATACCACTGTAATTCCATGGTTTTCTTAATACCAAGTTAAATAAATATGCTAATTATTCACTATCATTTTAGAAACCTACCTGCAAAGCTACAGTACTGTTACAGGTTTTAGACACTTGTCTTTATCAATTAACTTCTATTAACTAAATTAAATCAACATTTGGTGTGATCATCCTTTGCGTTTAAAGCAGCTTTTGCCCTATAGGTGCACTTGTCTGTGTAGTCTGTCTCAGTTTGTTCTGTTTCTTCATGTCATTCCAGACAGACTGGATGATGATCAGATCAGATCTCTGTGTGGAGCACTGGCTGTTGTCACAATATCATTGGATTATTACAATTAATGGCTAAATAAATGTTTGGGAATGTAAACTCATACTTCCTACAGACACACCACAGCAAAAGATAGAAATAACTGATTAAATAATGTATTAATTTAAAGTGGTCAGTAGTCTATTGGCTGGTTTTAGGAGGGATGGGGACTTCAGGTATTACAACTCATAGCTATAATGGTAGTACTTTTTGAAAATGTTATAAAAATTCCAGAAATATTCTGAAAGCTTATAACTGTATGAAGGAGATACCATATTAATTAATAATCCCTACCACAATCAGAAATAGCAATAGCTGTATGTGATATTTCTCTGGTATCATGAAGAACTGTAATTTGGACACGGATAAAAGAAAACCAGTGACTCTCTTAAGTATTGATGTGAGAGAACAATGTTCCCGTTAGCAATTTATCAAACCACGAAGACGATGATGTGGCAGTATCTCACTGAGGTAACAGGGACATTTGCACTGCTATTTACACTGACCTGCGCTAATATCACGAGCCTTTATTTTTAGCTTGTGCCAATCTACTGGCATATCAGCTGAGAAACACGACTCTATCGCATGTTGTGTTTTGAAATGCTTTGCATTTCACATTATTGAGATTCCGTATAACATCAGGTGATAATAATTGATAAAAAGGAGACGTTTGGCGTGAAAGTATAGCCTGAAATATTATCTCAATTCCTCTGACCTCCCGGTTTGACTGGAGTCAACATTGAGGTGCGTGGAAAGCATGCGTTTACTCACCGTTTCCTGCACTGGCACTAATATACCATCTCCGAGCTGTGAGAGTTTTTCCACGGCCGTGACCAAGTACGGACCCTAAGGATCTGCCTGTTAAACGGCAAAAGAGTGACATGCCCGAGGACATCGCCATGTTGTCCCATTTGTAGTGGGTTTTCTTCTTCTTCTTCTTCTTCTGGTGTTAATGGCAGTTGGCAAACCAACTTAAATGGTGCATTCCCGCCACCTACTGGATAGGAGTGTGGAGAGCATAATGATTGGAAGCTTGAGGACTATAGCCAAAAAAAATAATTAATTACAAAAAAAAAACATGTGATCATCCTTTGCGTTTAAAGCAGCTTTTGCCCTATAGGTGCACTTGTCTGTGTAGTCTGTCTCAGTTTGTTCTGTTTCTTCATGTCATTCCAGACAGACTGGATGATGATCAGATCAGATCTCTGTGTGGAGCACTGGCTGTTGTCACAATATCATTGGATTATTACAATTAATGGCTAAATAAATGTTTGGGAATGTAAACTCATACTTCCTACAGACACACCACAGCAAAAGATAGAAATAACTGATTAAATAATGTATTAATTTAAAGTGGTCAGTAGTCTATTGGCTGGTTTTAGGAGGGATGGGGACTTCAGGTATTACAACTCATAGCTATAATGGTAGTACTTTCTGAAAATGTTATAAAAATTCCAGAAATATTCTGAAAGCTTATAACTGTATGAAGGAGATACCATATTAATTAATAATCCCTACCACAATCAGAAATAGCAATAGCTGTATGTGATATTTCTCTGGTATCATGAAGAACTGTAATTTGGACACGGATAAAAGAAAACCAGTGACTCTCTTAAGTATTGATGTGAGAGAACAATGTTCCCGTTAGCAATTTATCAAACCACGAAGATGATGATGTGGCAGTATCTCACTGAGGTAACAGGGACATTTGCACTGCTATTTACACTGACCTGCGCTAATATCACGAGCCTTTATTTTTAGCTTGTGCCAATCTACTGGCATATCAGCTGAGAAACACGACTCTATCGCATGTTGTGTTTTGAAATGCTTTGCATTTCACATTATTGAGATTCCGTATAACATCAGGTGATAATAATTGATAAAAAGGAGACGTTTGGCGTGAAAGTATAGCCTGAAATATTATCTCAATTCCTCTGACCTCCCGGTTTGACTGGAGTCAACATTGAGGTGCGTGGAAAGCATGCGTTTACTCACCGTTTCCTGCACTGGCACTAATATACCATCTCCGAGCTGTGAGAGTTTTTCCACGGCCGTGACCAAGTACGGACCCTAAGGATCTGCCTGTTAAACGGCAAAAGAGTGACATGCCCGAGGACATCGCCATGTTGTCCCATTTGTAGTGGGTTTTCTTCTTCTTCTTCTTCTTCTGGTGTTAATGGCGGTTGGCAAACCAACTTAAATGGTGCATTCCCGCCACCTACTGGATAGGAGTGTGGAGAGCATAATGATTGGAAGCTTGAGGACTATAGCCAAAAAAAATAATTAATTACAAAAAAAAAACAATTTATTTACTACAACTGTATTCTAAATTCTATTTATCAGTCTTGTTTCTTTTAAGAATATAATTAATTCATGAGATATTCTTGATTGCTTTGGGCCATTTCCTAACAGAACCTGAAGTGACAAATTATTTATTCTACTGGCCCTCCAGGAACGAGTTTGGTGACCCCTGTTTTATGGCATGTTTGTCGTACATGACAACTGTAATGAACAAATGATATGTGCTTTAGTGAATAAGCATGAGTATTAGTCGTTATTCCATTCGGGAGTGGGGAAAAAACAGAAGAAACGCACCAAATCAAACTTGATTTGTGCAATTTGACTTTAGAGCTTCTGAAAAAAAAGCAATGAGAATATTTACCTTCTTTTCTGACTAAAAAGTAATTATGCTAAACCATCAAACAAAACCAACTAAAACTACAAGATCTATTAGTCATCAAAATCTTGATCAATTCATTAACAATGGCTATGAATATCAAGTACATGTTCACACTTATTGAGGATTGCTGTGTTTTTTTTTTTTTAAGTCTTGATGCTTCTTTACTTTAGGTAGTTTAGAAAACTTCAGAATATCCAGTGGTCCAATGGTGTAGATCAATATTACCTGTATGTTAGTTTTTCCTGGATTTGAGGACTCTGGGCCGCAGTCATGTTCATCCAGAGTTCACAGTGATGCCATAAACGGCCACGACTCCTCTATAGTAAAACCCACATAAAATATCCAATCACAGTTATTGCTATCCTCTCCCCATCTCTCCTCGTCTATGTAGGTCTCAGTGTTTATAGAATAAGGCGATACAGGACCCAAAGGCCAAAGGTCAACCAGTGGCTTGTCCAGCTGAGCTGTGTCCATTTCTCAATGGTATGGCTGGCCATGCCGCCCTGCAGACAAAAGAAAATCATTTAAGTCATGTAACAAATATAAATAATAACTTACACAGAAGGCAGGGGCCATAAGATTTCAGAAAAAGTAAGTTGTACC